TTGCAGGGGCTCTAATGAGACATTTGTATTTCTGCAGTTATTTTTTTCTGTTTCATTTTCCCTCCTTGGAAAGTTACTGTCTTGTACAAGTCTTTACCCCAGCAAGGTCGATGGTGGTTATTGAATGCTTTGTAGCACTTGCACCACGAGCCTCCCCTCCCTCGGGCATGACCCAGAGCCCATGGAGCTTGAGGCAAAAAGCACCAGCCCACCCCTACAAAATGCTCTTTGATAGCGCTTGTCTGGTTTAAGAAATGGCCATGGAGTGAAGGCAAAGGGCTGTATTTGTCCTGTAAACCATGGCACGCTCACTTGCAGTGATGGAAAGATTTAACCCCCTTCTGCACCACGCCTGGAGCAAGAAGAAATGCTTGGGAATATCTCTTGGCCCACAGCCTGGCTCGATAACACTCCCAGGACTCCCTCCAGCAGACGGTGGGGATTAAAATAGGCCGTGCACGTGGTGAGGAGGATGCACTGGGAAGGAGGCAAGGGGGCCGGGTTGGGGCAGGCGCCGGCTCCTCCGCGTGCTGCATCCCTGCGAGACCTCTGCTCCACCCGCTCCCGTGCCAAGGGCAGCGCTGATGGAGCTGGATGCATTTTGGCACTTCAGGAACTTTTTTTTTTCACTTGTGATGCCTCAGCATTTCTCCTCTGCCTAATCCAGACTCAGCTTCAGGCTGGCTCCACAACCCCTGTGAGTGTCCTCCCTCCCACCATCCAAGCAGCACAGAGGATGATCCAGAATTCACTGCCTTTTCCCAGCTTTTCCTGTAGCCAAAGGGGCTTGGAGGGAGCAGGGGAATACCACTAACGAGACTCTGGAGAGTTGGGTTAAACTTCTGGAGAAGGGTGGGATGGAGCAGAGCCAAAGCACTCATCCGTTGGCTGCAGCCCAGGGGACTGCAGACAACATCTGGTTGGCATCTGGCAGGGCGCAGAGCTGGATATGGCCCCAATTGCCGGCCTTGTCCCTCCAGCCCGGCGTGTGGGAGCCAGCTGCCTAATGATGATGGCATTTAGCAAGGGCTAAGGAGAACAGGATCACAGCCTGGCCTACACCCACTTGCTGCATGACCCTGGATCCAGCCCGTGACTCAGTTTCTCCTTTGCCGGCCAGCTTCCCCAAGAGCTTTTGGCTGCAGGGCTGGGATGTGCTTAGTGGAAAGGTTCAATCTGTGGGAAGGCAGTAATCTCTCCACCATCTTTCAGCACAGAATATTTTGTGCTAAAATCCCTGCTCTGGGAGCCCTGTGATTAGATGGAAGTCTCAGCTTCCTGATGAAAAAAATTACCCTTTGTGGTTGTGCAGAAAAGCTTGAAAATGCGGCCAGCACGTGACATAAGGAGCCCCCACCAAAAAACGAAGGGACTTCACACCTCAGACAACCTTGTAGGAGGTTTTTTTTTAAAAGTTGTAACAACTGTTGAGAATCTGCCACAGCTCCTGAATCCCATGGAGAGTCCACATGAGGATACTTCACTCTGGAGAAGCGGGATGCTTCTTGCTACCCAAATGGCTTCCCATGGGACAAGGACCATGTACATGTAAATGGGAGAAAAAACAGCCTCAGGACCACACATTGCAGTTGCCCAGCTGAGGACATCCTCAGAAAGCAGGTTAATTTGGTGCTTAAGCCATTGGGTCACCTAATTTGTTCTTCCTGCGTAATAGAGGCACCTCTGGAAGAGCTCTGGCCTTTCCCAATTGTTTGCTTCTCTCGCTTCTCCTTGTGCCATCTTGTCAGGACGTGCTGGACCGTGGTGTCTGGGGGTGCCAGGCATCTTAATTAATATCTCAGGAAGAGGGTCAACCCTGTGCTGCTGGCACCAGCCACCTTCCTAATTAACTTCACTAATTAAGAGGCCCCTGCACATGAGCAGAGGGACTCTGGGATGGTCCCCATGGCCACAGAACTGGAAAAAAAACCCTTCCTGCCTTGAGCACTGGGGATGGCAGCATGTCCTTCACACAGAGAAGCTGAGGCACAAGGGGAACAAGGACCAGAAAAATATCGGAAAGGGCCTGAGAGATGGGTGGAACCGAGGTACCCACGTCCTGACATGCTTCTTTGGAGGAAAAAAAAAAAAAAAGAGCATTTCTTGGCTCCTGCCCAGCCCTGGAGGTGTGTGAACGGGGTTGGTTTCATCACCCGGACAGGCTCATGCAGCCAGCCCCGACATGCTGAGCCCTTCGGTGCGTCACTCCAGCAGGGCTCCAGGCACCGAAAGCTCCCAATGTCCCTCCCTGGAGCAGTCCAGGTTTGCTCCTGCCCTACTCTTGCAGCCGGAAAAGCTGGGTCAGGAGTGTCCTGGTGCACCAAGCCGTGACCTCCCCCTGTCCTTCATCCCCTGTTCCTCTTGGCAGATGACACAGATATTCGCCAGCAGAAGATGCCCGTAGCAGCCTCATCCAGTACGTCCTGGGGAACATCATGAGCCATTGTGTTTCTCAGGACATTTTCTTCTTCCAAACCCCATCAGAAGCATGGAGGACATGGGCAACGTGTTGGGTGCCACAAGCAAATTGTGTCACCTGCTTTTCTGTTGAGGAATATCTGAACCTCCTCCGACCCAAGCTAGAAAGGCCAAGTGGATGAGGCCACATCTGCCAAGCCCTCCCCACAAAGCACTCCCTGCACCACCACCATCAGTGATGGTGGAGGACATTTGCTTGCTTGCAGGCTTTGCCAGAGTCCCAGGGAACTTTACTTGGGCTGGCAAGAGAGATAGACCTCCCTTCCCACTGCTGCCCATTGGTGAGAGTCACATCTCAGCTGGGAATCTCATTCTCTCATGAGTTTGTTCTCTCATGAGGGGTGTTGCTAAGCCAAAGTATTCTGCATCCCAAGTACTCAGGGGGAAACACGCTGAATCCACTAAGGAAAAGGAGTGTTTTCTTAATCACCATGGTTGAAAAATTTGCATACAATTAGGCTGGGACCTGCCTACATTTGGCTCTACATTTCATTCTCATGATTAACCTGCCGGTTTTCCTGCTCTCCTCCCAGCCAGAGGTTGAGTGCAAGGAAGCTTTCCATGGAAAAAAGGCAGGTGAGAGGTTTTGAGGCTGTTTCAGGATGCCCTTTCCATTCCCTGTTCTCATGGTGCTGTTCAGAACCTGGAGCCAGCCTGGAGGACGGGCTGAGCATATTTGCCCCACCTGTTACCTCTGGTTTTAGGCTGGAGCCGTGAAACGTGGTGAACATGGTGACTTCTTCCTCAGCAACATGGGGATGTGTGAAGAGAGACGCACTAGGGACTGCGAGACACTCCAGCAAATGCCTCCCATAAATAGCAAAATGTTTATGTGAACCCGCCATCCTCCTTGTGTTGTTTTTCTCCCTGCAGAGCAATCGATCTTTTAAACCTAAATAAGCTCTCCTCGCCCTGCTGTTGGCACAGCCAAAGCGCCGGGAAGTGGCACATCGCCACAGCCGCTGGATGAGCTCCGGGTGCTGGACAACCCGTCCTGCTCCAGCTGCTCTGTTGAGGCTGCTTGGGACAGTGAGGTGGAAGCCCACCACATGGCATGGGCTGGTGACGGTCCCCACAGCCACCCCCAACCCTGCTGTGGGGTCTGCAGGCTCTGATGGAGGAGAGGATAGAGGAACAAATCCAGGGGTTGCCACATTGGTCACTGAAAAAAAAGCAAAGTGGCGGAAAATGTCCTGCCCCAGCACCCCAGCTCACTGGAGAGATGCAAACAGGGTTTGGAGACCGGGATGCGGACAGTCCCCTTCCCCAAATCCAGTCTGAGTTTGCAGATGGGCTGGAGGAGGTGAGGAAACAGCACTGGTCCATGCAGCACCTGGATAAACAGGATCCGGCTATTTATGCAGCTAAGTCATGTGGTTGCCTGGAGCACAGCTGGGATGCGGATCCTTGGAGATACTTGGGGGTGCAAATCCCCAAGTGAGGATCTGTCACACTAGCGAGGGGTGACAGACCCCTCACTAGCCCCCAAGGGTGCCATTCGGAGAACAGCACCACTGAGGAGGAACAGTACTTGATGGCTCTTTCCTGATCCATCTTTTTTCCACTCATTTGGGGTGAGATGCAGCAGCTGGAGCCTGGACACAGCTTTGGGGCTGCCTGGGAGATATCTCCCAGCTCGCTGTGCCACATGTGGTCCTGACTTTGGCTTCTGGTCCCTTCCTGGGGATGAACACAGAGCAGAGCCTGCTCTGTGCCTGGGTGCTGCCCTGGATCTGTTAGTCCGTAATCTCAATAATCACCCGCACACTCAACCTGGTGGGTTGAAAAGCAAGCTTTTAGTAGCCGTCTGGTGGTGGATCTCTTACAATTTGCCTGAGATCCGCGCCATCTGAGGAAAAAGTTCGTGTTTTTATAGACAGCTGCAACTCCTTCATACGTTATTTGCAGTTACCAGTTCTTCACGGCTCATATCTTATCTCATGGTTGCAACAAGAGCAGGGGGGCTCAGCATAAGTAGCAAGCTATGTTCACAGAAGCAAATGGCGAAATTATGTACCTAGTCCCCTCAACCTTATTAACTTTTTATACAGCCCCTCTTTGCATAGGGTCCTGCAGGTCCTTGCTCACTCAGAGCTGAGGCTGGCTCTGGTTTTGCCTCAGGGCTGACATTCCCTCCAGGAACCGTGCTGACACCAGATCTTAATGTTGGTCCTGATGCTAAAACCGGGGCCCAAAGCGAGTTCAGAGCATGAGGCAACTCGTGGGGTTGCTGCTGGCTCTAGCACCGCTCCCAGCTCCACTCGGCTCCTCCCACGGGGCCTCCCCCTGTCACGGAGCTGCCCCGGTTCTGCCTCCCCAGCAGGGCCAGCCAACGGGGCCGGCCGGCTCCCGCCCCCCCCGCAGCCCGCTCCCGGACGAGGGCGCACCC